GTCGTGTAAAGGTTATGGTCTATTAACTCAGCAACCTGATACCAGAGGACTTTGAGATCACTACTCAATGTGATAGTTATGAACAGAATAAGCATGTTAATGGCCAAATTCAGCTTCGAACAAGGGTAGACCGAGGGCAGGATTTGCGACCGAGGCCGGGGCCGAGGCAAACCGAGGAATTGTCCTCCTGACCGAGGCCGAGGAAAAATCGCTATTCCTCGGTAAAACCGAGGCCGAGGACTCGGTCGACGGTCGACTCTTGGCTTCAAACTCCAATCAGAAGCCGAGTAATATTGATTTTAAGTGCTATAATTGCTACTGGCGAGAGCGTAAAAATAGGTTTTGGCTTAATACCTCAACAACCTGATCTTTGAGGACTTTGAAATTATGCTCTACCCTACTTAAACTGATGATTTTGAACGTGTTAATGCCCCGGATAAGCACCTAGCTCAATCAGAAGCCGAGATATCTGGTATTTAGTGTACAAATTATGACTCGCGAGAGAAAAAAAAGGGTGTGGTCATATAACTCAACAACCTGATGTCTAGTGACTTTAAAATTATGCTCTACCCCCCTAAATGTGATAATTCTGAACAACTTTACAGCCAAGTTGAGCTTTTAATTCCAATTAGAAGCGGAGTTATTTTGATTTTAAAGTCGCAAAAGTGCCAAAAAAGGGCGTGGTCAATTGCGCAAAACTGCACCATAGCCACAATTTCTACCCAGACCAAATTTGTTTCTGATGGGTCACTTGAGCTATTCCAAGTCTCAAACTCCGGGGCGGAAGTTATATAGACGGGAATGTCTTCAGATCCATGAGTATTTGGGAATTCTTGGCGCTCGAGTGTAAATATGGGCGTGGCTATCTTATATGGGAGTGGTCTGAAAGTCAAATAGATATCACCAATCGATTTCTCGGGTCAAAAAACATAGGTCTCAACACCCAACTTGCCCAAAAACATTGCTTACATTTTTGGGAATTTTGACGCTCAATTGTAAATATGGGCGTGGTTATCTTATCTGGGAATGGTCTGAAAGTAAAATAGATATCACCAATCGATTTCTTGGATCAAAAAACATTGGTTTTGATACCCTACTTGCTTTGATTGAGCAAATATGAATTTATATTAGGAAAAGGTAAGATTTTCCCACGATCATATAAAAGGGCGTGGCCACAGACCTGGTGGACACATAACTTTTTGTCTACCCAAATTTTTTTTGATCCATAGACCCCAATAAACCCAAATAACATCACAAACCTCGTATACTCAAAACATTGTGCGGCTTTTCAGTCAGATACAGGATTAATATCAGTATCCTCTGCTTTTACCTCAACATCTTCGTAGAAGGACAAGTTTAAAGCTTTACTAGCTAGGTCATGGTATCAGCATCATCAGTAGCTACATGCACTTCAATTCCATGTTCTGTAAAAACGTTCGACAGAAGCTTTATAAGCTCATGCTTGTTCTTTGAGTTGCTGAACAGTTTTTTCATCGGAACTGTGCACACAGTAGTACTTTTAATAGCTATATCATAGCAGTATGCCTTGATTCTTCGCTGATGCTCATGATCTTTTGTTGATCGGGCATAGCCATCAAACACAACAATCACTTTCCGCTGTTCCAATTTCGGAACTAGCTTAAGGTATTCATTAGCTATGTCGCCGTATGTTTCAAAGCCTGTGAACGAGGTAACTTGATAGAGTAGCCATCCACCATCAATTATTAATGGGGAGGATGGGTTGCTAAATGTCACAGTACAATCAACAACATTCTTGAGGTATTGTCCAAGGGCTGCCTTGTTTGCCTTTCTCATCATCTGTTAAAAAGACTCATCGGCATTGCTGTGAGCTCATATTGCAAGCTTTCCTTCAGTGTAGACTCTCGTTCAGATGCGAAGACAAGCCGATTAAAAATTGTCAATGAGTCTATAACAATGTCTTTTTCGTTCACCCTCACTGTCCTCTTTAGAAGGGTCAAGTGTCCGACTTTGCCTTTAATTAACTCGAAACTTATCGATAAAGCTTTTGCCATCCAGCTCTTTCTGGAGGGCAGTACCAACGGAAATGCAATCTTCTGGGTTGACATTATCTTTCTCTTTCTGTGATATGAGACCCGTTGAGTACGATAGCATTTTAGTCTTGTCTTCAGATTCGTCGAAATCAGCTGTATCTTTAAACCAACACAACAGCTTGGTAAACACTGCAATATTTTTCTGTACAGAAGATTTGCTAAGATCTGAGTATTTAGCACTAGAGGCTTTTGTTGTTGTTTGTAAGAACCCCCGGATCTGACGTTATCCAAGACCGGACCTTACCCTGATAGTACGCCCTGGACCGGCGTACATCGGTTGTCATGGTAACATCGGTTGCCATGGTTACAGAAACCCGACCTGACGGCCACACCAGCCAAAAGCTGAAGTGTCGGTAATTAGGATCTCGCCAAGGATTCACCGCCAATTGGGTGTTAAGATAACGACCCATACCACTATGGTAATTGGTCTGATAACGGACCAAGCGCAGCCAGCCCTGGTAACAATCTCTCAAGCCACCGCTAGCGACCTGTGAACCACGTGTCACGTCGCATCACTTCTCTTGGACCGATCAAGAATACGTTACGCTTTTCCTCTCGTGACTTAAGATGGAAGTATCCGGAAGGACTTGACCACCTTGATGAACTCTGCCGATCTCTCTGGACCTCACTCTCGAGCGGCTGATGATGATACACCACTGTCGCAGTACTTCCCGGAGTAGCCACCATGTTGAACCTTGTCGGATTCTACGCCTCTAAGCTTCACCAGAGATCTAACGACCACCGGAGTGAGTACTCCTAGAAGGCTTTAGGATTAGAACTTAAGTTAAATTATTATGACGATATTACGATTATATATATCCATTGCTTGGTATAATTACCTTGATGTCAGAAGCTATATTCTGGCCCCCTAAATAGGCGTACCTTACTGGTGTTATTATATAAATCAGTGACCACAAGGGTCACCAGCCAGGAGCAATCCTGTGCTGCAAATTGTCATTGAAATTACGTTAAAATAACAACACTACTAATACGGAATGATGCCGTGTCTCTCGGAGGCTTTCGAGTGCCACTAAATTAGTGGAACGTTACGAACCCGAGACCCTGGTGGAACCTGAAGGAGGACATGATGCAGGTAAGTATTGACCCGCTTGCCCGGGCTATCCAGGTTTGATCATGTTTGGGAGCTATAGGAAAGCTTCTATGGAGCCTTAAATAAACTCTCCGCCCTAGGTTGTTTGACGTGTTATTCCAGGCCACCTTTTGTAGTTCACAGCCAGTTTAACGACGGCTGGGCTCTTACATTGTTCTTTTATTGGATAAGTCTGCAATAGCTTCATCGACACTCTCGTTTATCAACGCCATTTGATTGAGGGTTGCAGTCCATAACTTATGGGCAGATTCATGAGTTCACATTCTCCATCCAGACAAACCCCCTGATGACTTTGCAGCCTTCATTAGTCGCTGTTCGATCGACAGGTCTGTCCACACACCAGACCACTCGTGTTCATTATATCGAACTGTGTGCAGACCTACGACCTTGAACGTTTTGACTAGTGCCCCATACTGAATCTCAAGTACGGTAATCTGCTCAAGATACAGCCGTAGAGCTTTGGAGTACTGACCTCGACCTGCTGCTGCAAAGATAGGCAACATCTTAGCCACAATTGCAAGATGTAGATCGAAGTCATGTAACCGTTCTGCTCTTATAAAATCTTTTATTAGGCAAATGAAACCATGATAAGTTGTCTAAAGGGCAGCTGTGCAGCTGTTCGACGATAACATCTCGAACTTCTTTTTTATACGCTCTGATAACTCTTGTACGACTCTGGTCTTGTGGTTAACACCGAGTTTTTCATTGCTACACTTGGCAATGTAGCTAGCCATATCTTCAAGATCCTCCTCTGCTATTTTGTCCTCAAATAAATAGCAGCAGAGAGCACAATCTATTAAAAAGTGGGCCCTCAGTGCTTTGTAATAGGATCCACCGTCCATTATGTGAGTTACATCCCCAGGGTAGACTAATCTCATAAGGTCTTCCTGTCCGGAGTCTGCCATGATATAACCCACACACCCCAAAAAGCTTTTCAGGGTGTGGAAGCCTCCCATCCTAACAATAACTGGCATTCTTTTCTCGAGAACTATCCGACTAGCCTTCAACCAAAGTGGTAAATCGAAGGTGATTACCATCGGTTTGGTTGAGGCTGTCTTCAAGCACTCAATAAGTGTTGTATAGACTGTTGAGTAGCTGTCTGGGGGTTGATCGATTATCTGCAGGAACTCAATTTGTGATCTGGCCTTCACATTGGGCTTATGCAGCGATTTCATGAAACCTTTCCAATTGACGGGAGGATTGGCAGGGGTAAGTTTCATGAAAATGAGCCACGCTGCATAAAAAGCGGTGTCTCCATGGCAAGAGGTATCATAAACAAACTTTCGCTGTAGTTTATCAAATGGCCTTAATGTGACTGTGCTTAGACCATTTTCTTTGAGCCATATCCGTACTTGGCTTCCATAACATCCCCACTACAACAATTTTCGCAAAATTTCCAAATTTAAGTAAAATTTCAAAATTTTAGTAAATTTTTGAGAGGTTAGCCTATAAAAATGAAATTATTTCAATAAGTAAAGATCTGACGACCCTAAAACACTGATTCGCCCCAAATAATGTCACTATTGCGGTCATTTTGCACCCCCTATGGTGCTCCTGGGGGTCTTTATTACGATAGTTACGTGTTTTTCAAGTGCGGTCCTCAGGCTGACATACGCGCCTGAAGAAAATTGGCTGTAACTTTTTTTGCTCAACAGATCCAGATTGGAAACTCTTTGGGGTGGTTCCTGACACTATGGACAACACATTCCTGTAAAAATCAGCTTGTCGCAAATTTTTTCCCAGATGGTCCTGTATTAATGTTAATTGTCCCTAACTAATATACTTTAAATGAAAGTTATAACACTGCATACCTTCAGATAGTTCTGCTGTCACAGAACAACACGCAAATAATTCGGAGGGGACGAGTATGATGGCATATCCTCAAGTTTTTAGAAGGTAATATAATGTCCACCACTATGTACCTTGTTTTATATTGTGATAATATAATGATGATATTTACAATTTGAGTTTTCAATGAATACAACTTTGTACGTCAGTCTGAATTTACAGAAAATAGTAACTACTAATCTGTATACTTTAAATAAAAGTTATAACACTACATACCTTCAGATAGATCTGTCACAGAATAACACACAAATAATTCGGAGGGGACGAGTATGATGGCATATCCTCAAGTTTTTAGAAGGTAATATAATGTACACCACTATTTACCTTGTTTTATATTGTGATAATATAATGATGATATTTACAATTTGAGTTTTCAATGAATACAATTTTGTACGTCAGTCTGAATTTACAGAAAATAGTAACCACTAATCTGTATATTTTAAATTAAAGTTGTAACACTACATACCTTCAGATAGATCTGTCGCAGAACAACACACGGACAATTCGGAGAGGAAGAGTATGTTGGCATATCATTCAGTTTTTAGAAGGTAATATAAAGTCCCTTACTATTTACCTTGTTTTATATTGTGATGATATAATGATGATATTTACAATTTGAGTTTTCAATGAATACAATTTTGTACGTCAGTCTGAATTTACAGAAAATAGTAACTACTAATCTGTATACTTTAAATGAAAGTTATAACACTACAAACCTTCAGATAGATCTGTCGCAGAACAGAAAGAATTTGGAGAGGGAGAGTATGTTGACATATCCTTAAGTTTTTAGAAGGTAATATGAAGTCCTTTACTATTTACTTTGTTTAGTATTGTATAATGATGAAAGTTACAATTTGAGTTTTCAATGAATACAATTTTGTACGTCAGTCTGAATTTACAGAAAAAAGTGACCACTAATCTGTATACTTAAAATAAAAGTTATAACGCTACATACCTTCAGATAGTTCTGTCACAGAATAACACACAAATAATTCGGAGAGGAAGAGTATGTTGGCATATAATCCTTAAGTTTTTAGAAGGTAATATAAAGTCCTTTACTATTTTGTATTTACGTTGTTAAGTATTGTGATAATATAATGATGAAAGTTACAATTTGAGTTTTCAATGAATACAATTTTGTACGTCAGTCTGAATTTACAGAAAATAGTAACCACTAATCTGTATAGTTTAAATAAAAGTTATAACACTACAAACCTTCAGATAGATCTGTCACAGAATAACACACAAATAATTCGGAGGGGACGAGTATGATGGCATATCCTCAAGTTTTTAGAAGGTAATATATAGAAGGCCTATAATGTACACCACTATTTACCTTGTTTTATATTGTGATAATATAATAATGATATTTACAATTAGAGTTTTCAATGAATACAACTTTGTACGTCAGTCTGAATTTACAGAAAATTGTAACTACGAATCTGTATACTTTAAATAAAAGTTATAACACTACAAACCTTCAGATAGTTCTGTCACAGAATAACACACAAATAATTCGGGTGGGACGAGTATGATGGCATATCCTCAAGTTTTTAGAAGGTAATATAATGTACACCACTATTTACCTTGTTTTATATTGTGATAATATAATGATGATATTTACAATTTGAGTTTTCAATGAATACAATTTTGTACGTCAGTCTGAATTTACAGAAAATAGTAACCACTAATCTATATATACTTTAAATGAAAGTTATAACACTGCATACCTTCAGATAGTTCTGCTGTCACAGAACAACACACAAATAATTCGGAGGGGACGAGTATGATGGCATATCCTCAAGTTTTTAGAAGGTAATATAATGTACACCACTATTTACCTTGTTTTATATTGTGATAATATAATGATGATATTTACAATTTGAGTTTTCAATGAATACAATTTTGTACGTCAGTCTGAATTTACAGAAAATAGTAACTATTAATCTGTATACTTTAAATGAAAGTTATAACACTACAAACCTTCAGATAGATCTGTCGCAGAACAGAAAGAATTTGGAGAGGGAGAGTATGTTGACATATCCTTAAGTTTTTAGAAGGTAATATGAAGTCCTTTACTATTTACTTTGTTTAGTATTGTATAATGATGAAAGTTACAATTTGAGTTTTCAATGAATACAATTTTGTACGTCAGTCTGAATTTACAGAAAAAAGTGACCACTAATCTGTATACTTAAAATAAAAGTTATAACGCTACATACCTTCAGATAGTTCTGTCACAGAATAACACACAAATAATTCGGAGAGGAAGAGTATGTTGGCATATAATCCTTAAGTTTTTAGAAGGTAATATAAAGTCCTTTACTATTTTGTATTTACGTTGTTAAGTATTGTGATAATATAATGATGAAAGTTACAATTTGAGTTTTCAATGAATACAATTTTGTACGTCAGTCTGAATTTACAGAAAATAGTAACCACTAATCTGTATAGTTTAAATAAAAGTTATAACACTACAAACCTTCAGATAGATCTGTCGCAGAACAGAAAGAATTCGGAGAGGGACGAGTATGATGACATATCCTCAAGTTTTTAGAAGGTAATATGAAGTCCTTTACTATTGGGGGGGGGGGGGGGGGGGGGTCCAACCCGATATCCGATATGAGGGTTGATGAGGCCAAAATCGGAATCGGAAAAATCGGAAAATTGAGAAATTTTAGAGAATCGATCTCTAAAACCTCTCAGAAGTGAGGAAGTGATAAAAAACCCCTACATATGCTATATTGTTATGAGAAAACGAACTAATTGGACATTCCATTAGTATGTTTTATGTGTTTTTCCACTGCAGGGGCTAGTCTGCCGTTTTCTGACAAAAGTGCTTAAGTAACATTTTGGAAATTTCGGGTTTTTTGGTCCAACTTTTGTTTTTGGGTCGAGAACTATCCCTGAGGACCATTGGATAGATTCGCCGACCCCCGAAACCCCCTTTTTGGAACCCCCTAAAATGCAAAATATGGTCATTTTTCTGAGAAAAGTGCTTAAGTAACATTTTGGGAAACGGATGCCGTTTATCTCGAAAACGGTGCCATTTCGGGAACTGAAAACGGTGGCATTGTTTTTTACGCCCAAAACTGGCCTAGTGACGGTAATTTGGTGATCGTGGGTCTTCTGGCCTGGGAGAAAACAATTTATGTCACTTAAGCACTTTTGTGAAAACGGGCTCGTTTTCTCACAAAAGTGCTTAAGTGCCATTATACGTTTAATTAAATGTTGATACTGCCAACTGAAACTATATAATCGGTACTCACAAATCTAAATTTTCACGGCGGATCGATTGGTGATGGTCATAAACTTCAGAAACGCTAGCTTCGCCGTCAAAATTGCCGATTTGTCAATGCAGAACGTTTCAAAATATACGTCATAATTTCTTATAAGTTGAGACTGGCGGGATTATCGACAGCCAAGGGAACATAACCAAAGAGATAGAAGCGATTTGCTTCACTGCTCCTACTCTGTTTTTTTATTGAAATCTTTCAAATCAGTCAATTACATACAAGTTTACACAATGAATTAGTTTAATATAATATTGTCCTCTAAGCATGGATTGTCAAAGTTGAAATTGTCTCGGACAAAATGTATGTAACCAAAGGACCTGAGGGTCACCAAAACACAGATATTGAGTGCAAATGCAGCTCCTGCACAAGCATGGGCCCTTAAAATTGATATGGAGAAAGTTCTTTTACTACCACACATGTAGTACAAGGAGTACAAGGAGGCGATTTTTACAAGACGCCTTGTCACATTTAACAAGACCTTCGCGAGGCTGGGGTCAGACGGAGCTCCTTTAGCGATTCTTTGGAATGAGTCAATCGCAGGAAGGAAAGATGAGAATGTGTCCTCGACTTGGATAAGGGCAATACAAATTTTTGCCAGTTAGTTGGCAAGATTGGTAGCAGGGAGATCATTTTTTGGGCAGACAATTGTTCTGCTCAAAACAAGTGCTGGACTTTATTTACTGCCCTATGTTCATCAACAGCCCAGATGTTGACCTGGACAAGATAACGGTCAAGTATCCCCAGTATCTAAAGCGAGTGCACACCTTTATGAGTGCAGACTCATTCCACCATAAAGTGGAGTTGTCCATTAAACAATCAGGTCAACTTCATGATTATAAGGACTTTGTTCAGGCAGTCGAACAGGTGGGTTTTGCGATAAGCATGAACTGCACATACTTTGAATCGTGGCCAAGGTCCTACGGAGCAAGCAACTAAAAAACTAAAGATGTTAAAGTTGTAAGTTTCCAGCGTGGGTCTGTAGAAATGGAATGGAAAACAAATCATGACGAGGTTTCCTTTCATTTCACTCCATTTCTCAGACAAAAAGACGAGAGACTCATTTCCATAGGCCAGGTTGCAAAATAGCTTTCGCCCAGGAAGAGCCCCGGGGGATAGCTACTCCCAAAAAACAAGACATTATACGTAAACTGTGCAGGCTTATGGCCCCGAGTAGTAGGGTATTCTGGATGAACTTGCCTGATAGTACAGCTATATAACAGATATCTTAATCGAGTGTTTGACTAAAAATCAACTATTTCTTGTATTATTTACCATTTATTTATGTACAGCATTACTTACAATTATGTTACATTTTTATACGCTTGTTTTTCTTTGCCTCGCGTTAAAATTAAAAAAAATTAAAAAATGAAATAAAGACTCTGCAAACATCTCAGAGAAATATTACCACCATAAAGAACAAAGAGGGAGTATCCTGGACCCCGAAATCCACCACTTTTCTGTACTTTCAGAGGTACCAATGTGGCAGGAAACCAGGGCTCATGCTGCCGCTGTGCTAAAGCAGTAGAGGGGATGGCGGCTTCTCTAGGATCTAACACGTCCTGAAGCAGACCAACACTATGTCCCAACGCACTGGTGTTGGGATGTCTGCCCCCGGTGCCTGTCCGGGTCAATAAAGCAGTCAAGCATCATGTATGTTATGTTGAGCATTCTCAACCAACAAATGTGGGAACTCCCACGAAAGACCAAAACAGATCTAAAGAGACACTTAACAACATTGGAAAATAGACTTCAATTTGTTTATATAATTTATAAAGCGTATATTATTGCCCACGTTAAGGGGCCTGTTAATAATTTATTAAATTATTAGCTATTTTAGATTTAATAATAATGCCTCGCGTTACGATATCAATAATTCGCAAATCATTGGTCTTTATGAAGAAAGCCTCATCTGAGTTCTTAATTTAATTTCTAAAGAAAGCAACTTATTTATTATTATCCCGTACTTTCACCAATCAACTCTTCGTTGAAATGCTGGTAGAATTTCGACTATTTTTTAATCCGCTGGGGAGAAGGGAGTGTTTTCGTGTTCTTGAACCACCACCAATCAATTTGTCGTAAAATTTTAGGACAGAATGATCGCAGATAAAGTTCCCACTAATGTGGCTGTACTTAAGCACTTTTCTCAGAAAACGAAATTTTCTATTTCAGCGTGTCCCCTATTTACAACCAATGTTTCATCACAACAGTTTTAGGCTAATTTTTCGTTTTACTTTCGATGACCAATGGTTTGAACGGGTCATTTTCATCAGAACATGTAGTATTTGCCGATGTGACTGTACTTAAGCACTTTTCTCAGAAAACGAAATTTCAACTTTTCTATTCCAGCGTGTCCCCTATTTACAACCAATGTTTCATCACAACAGTTTTAGGCTAATTTTTCGTTTTACTTTCGATGACCAATGGTTTGAACGGGTAATTTTCATCAGAACATGTAGTATTTGCCGATGTGACTGTACTTAAGCACTTTTCTAAGAAATTCACACTATAATTTGTGATTTTGAGGCACTTTCCGAGAAGTTAGGATGATGAAACCTTGTCAGAAGTCTCAAAAGTTGACAAAGTACCTTAGAAACATAGTGGGTGCAGTTTAAATTGGACAGCAGCTAGCCCAGAGCAATTACAGAATTGAAATCTTTTAAGTCAATTTGCACAAAATGAACCTTGTGTTACTTAAGCACTTTTGTCAGAAAACGGCAGTAGTATGCTCACTACTAGTTGGAGTTGTCATGTACTCCCAGACCCGAGTGCTTTGGCCTCTTGACGTGAGATCGATTGTTTCTGCTCATTAATTTTATCCCTGTTACTTGTTATTATGTATTAGTACAACACTAGGGTTATATTTTGTGGTCCGGTCTTTAAACATACCATAATATCACTAGTACACTGCACCTTAAATGTATAGTCAAGTACATTTGTATCGTAACACATGCTTGGCTGGGGGATCATGTTTTGTGTCCGTTCGGTACCCTGTATTTTCAAAACGGACAAAAAGTAGGGCGGACAAAAACAGACAAAACATTTAGATGTCCTCCTCCTCCTCCTCCTAAGTCTTCCTCCTCCTGAGTCCTTCTCCTCCTCAGTCCTCTTCAGTCCTCTTCCTGACTCCTCGTCCTCGTCCTCGTCCTTCTCCTCAGTCCTCCTCACCCTCCTCCTCAATCCCCTTCTCCTCCTCAGTCCTACTCCCAGTCCTCCTCTTTCTCCTTCTCCTTCTCCTTCTCCTCCTCCTCATCCTCATTTCTCCTCCTGATCCTCCTTCTCCTCCCCATCAGTTCTCCTTAGTCCTCCTCATAGTCGTCCTCCTCCTCCTGAGTCCTCATCCTCCTCCACCTCCTGAGTCCACCTCCTGAGTCCTCCTCCTGAGTCCTCATCCTCCTCCTCAGTCATCATCCTCTTCCTCCTGAGTCCTCCCCCAGTCCTCCTCCTCCTTCTCCTCCTCATCCTCCTCCTCCTTCTCCTCCTCATCAGTCCTCATCAGTCATCCTCTGTCCTCCTCATAATCGTCCTCGTCCTCATCCTCGTCCTTAGTCCTCCTCCTCCTTATCCTCCTCCTCAGTCCTCCCCCAGTCCTAATCCTCCTCCTTCTCCTCCTCCTCCTACTCCTCCTCCTCCTTCTCCTCTTTCTTCTCCTCCTAATCATTCCTCCTCCTCAGTCGTCCTCCGCCTCCTCCTCGTCCTTAGTCCTCGTCCTCTTCAGTATTCCTCCTCAGTCCTCCTCAGTCCTCATCCTCCTCATCCTCCTCCTCCTCCTCAGTCCTCCTCCTCATCCTCCTCTTCCTTCTCCTCTTCCTTCTCCTCCTAATCATTCCTCCTCCTCAGTCGTCCTCCGCCTCCTCCTCGTCCTTAGTCCTCGTCCTCTTCAGTATTCCTCCTCAGTCCTCCTCAGTCCTCGTCCTCCTCATCCTCCTCCTCCTCCTCAGTCCTCCTCCTCATCCTCCTCCTCCTTCTCCTCTTCCTTCTCCTAATCAGTCCTCCTCCTCAGTCGTCCTCCTCCTCTTCATTAGCCCTTGTCCTCATCCTCCTAGTCCTCGTCCTTAGTCCTCGTCCTCATCCTCCTCAGTCTTCCTCCTCAGTCCTCATCAGTCTCATTGTCCTCATCCTCCTCCCCAAGTCCTCCTCTTTCTCAGTCCTCCCCCAGTCCTCCTTCTCATCCTCCTCATCCTCTTCAGTCGTCATCTTGTTCCTCCTCAGTCCTCCTCTTCCTCCTACTCGTCAGTCCTCCTCCTCCTCCTTCTCCTCAGTCCTCCTCCTCCTCCGCAGTCCTTCTCCTCCTCGTCAGTCCTCCTCCTCGCCAGTCCTCCTTCTCCTTCTTCTCCTCCTACTCCTAAGTCCTCCTCCTCCTCCTCAGTCCTCCTCCTCCCTCTCATCCTTTTCCTCCTTCTCCTCCTTCTCCTCCTACTCCTAAGTCATCCTCCTGCTCCTCAGTCCTCCCCCAGTCCTCCTCCTCATCAGTCCTCCCCCAGTCCTCCTTCTCCTCCTCCTCATCCTCAGTCCTCCTCCTCATCATCCTCCTCAGTCCTCCCTAAGTCCTCCTCTTCCTCAGTCCTCCCTAGTCCTCCTTCTCCTCCTCCTCATCCTCAGTCCTCCTCCTCATCCTCAGTCCTCCTCCTCAGTCCTCCTCGTCCTTAGTCCTCCCCCAGTCCTCCTTCTCCTCATCCTCAGTCCTCCTCCTCAGTCCTCGTCCTTCTCCTTTTTAACAGTCCTCCTCCTCAGTCTTCCTCCTCGTCCTCGCTCTCGTCCTCCTCCTTCTCGTCTTCCTCCACACCAATCCTGCTCCTCTTCCTCAGTCCTCCCTCTCTTCAGTCCTCCTCCTCCTCAGTCCTCCTCGGTCCTCCTCTTTCTCCTCAGTCTTCCTCCTTTTCCTCCTCCTCCTCATTTCTCCTCCTCATCCTCCTCCTCCTTCTTCTCTTCCTTCTCCTCCTAATCAGTCCTCCTCCTAATCAGTCCTCCGCCTCAGTTCTCCTCCTCCTCGTCCTTAGTCCTCGTCCTCGTCCTCATCCTCCTAGTCCTCGTCCTCATCCTCCTAGTGCTCGTCCTGGTCCTCCTCAGTCTTCCTCCTCTGTCCTCCTCAGTCCTCCTTCTCCTCAGTCCTCCTCCTCCTCCTCATCAGTTTACACAATTTATTGTTACTAAAATGTTTTTAAACGCATTTGAGTCTGTAACATATTGACATGTTACTGTTACTGACTCAAAATGTGCCCGAGAATTTTGTTGTTTAACAGAGTTTTACTCTCCAGTACTATGGAAAAGTTGTTACATGATAAATAAAGATTTTGATAAATAAAGTGATTTTCATCCCTTTTAATGTTATTGAAAATTGTGTAGACTATTCTTTGTATCTAACTGAGGATTGGAAGTTTGAGAAAGGACCATAGTCATTAACCGTGCTACCCATTTCTGCAGATAGCCTGTTACAAATTGTGGAGACAATTTAAATCAAAAGTTACTAAAGCGTTCGCTATTTGTTACGATTGTTATTACCAACCGTACCTCTTTCAATTGTGGACCGGGGTGGATGTTTCTGTCAAACAAGAGTTGGTACGACATTGTGTTGTTTTTCGGACGAAACGATTCTTGTTTGGAACAAGATACCATTTTTGGGGTTCTGGGACCACCACCAATCGATTTCTTGTCATATTTAAGTACAGAAATAGCTACCTATATCGCCTAGAAACCTCAGAGGGAAGATTTAAATTTTCCCGATTTTTCCGATATGAGGGTTGATGAGGCCAAAATCGGGATCGGAATGATCGGAATTGATCGGGTTGGACCCCCCCCCACTATTTACTTTGTTTAGTATTGTATAATGATGAAAGTTACAATTTGAGTTTTCAATGAATACAATTTTGTACGTCAGTCTGAATTTACAGAAAAAAGTAACCACTAATATAATCTGTATACTTAAAATAAAAGTTATAACGCTACATACCTTCAGATAGTTCTGTCACAGAATAACACACAAATAATTCGGAGAGGAAGAGTATGTTGGCATATAATCCTTAAGTTTTTAGAAGGTAATATAAAGTCCTTTACTATTTTGTATTTACGTTTTTAAGTATTGTGATAATATAATGATGAAAGTTACAATTTGAGTTTTCAATGAATACAATTTTGTACGTCAGTCTGAATTTACAGAAAATAGTAACCACTAATCTGTATAGTTTAAACAAAAGTTATAACACTACAAACCTTCAGCTTCAGATAGATCTGTCACAGAATAACACACAAATAATTCGGAGGGGACGAGTATGATGGCATATCCTCAAGTTTTTAGAAGGTAATATATAGAAGGCCTATAATGTACACCACTATTTACCTTGTTTTATATTGTGATAATATAATAATGATATTTACAATTTGAGTTTTCAATGAATACAACTTTGTACGTCAGTCTGAATTTACAGAAAATAGTAACTACTAATCTGTATACTTTAAATAAAAGTTATAACACTACATACCTTCAGATAGATCTGTCACAGAATAACACACAAATAATTCGGAGGGGACGAGTATGATGGCATATCCTCAAGTTTTTAGAAGGTAATATAATGTACACCACTATTAACCTTGTTTTATATTGTGATAATATAATGATGATATTTACAATTTGAGTTTTCAATGAATACAATTTTGTACGTCAGTCTGAATTTACAGAAAATAGTAACCACTAATCTGTATATTTTAAATTAAAGTTGTAACACTACATACCTTCAGATAGATCTGTCGCAGAACAACACGCGGACAATTCGGAGAGGAAGAGTATGTTGGCATATCATTCAGTTTTTAGAAGGTAATATAAAGTCCCTTACTATTTACCTTGTTTTATATTGTGATAATATAATGATGATATTTACAATTTGAGTTTTCAATGAATACAATTTTGTACGTCAGTCTGAATTTACAGAAAATATTAACTATTAATCTGTATACTTTAAATGAAAGTTATAACACTACAAACCTTCAGATAGATCTGTCGCAGAACAGAAAGAATTTGGAGAGGGAGAGTATGTTGACATATCCTTAAGTTTTTAGAAGGTAATATGAAGTCCTTTACTATTTACTTTGTTTAGTATTGTATAATGATGAAAGTTACAATTTGAGTTTTCAATGAATACAATTTTGTACGTCAGTCTGAATTTACAGAAAAAAGTGACCACTAATCTGTATACTTAAAATAAAAGTTATAACGCTACATACCTTCAGATAGTTCTGTCACAGAATAACACACAAATAATTCGGAGAGGAAGAGTATGTTGGCATATAATCCTTAAGTTTTTAGAAGGTAATATAAAGTCCTTTACTATTTTGTATTTACGTTGTTAAGTATTGTGATAATATAATGATGAAAGTTACAATTTGAGTTTTCAATGAATACAATTTTGTACGTCAGTCTGAATTTACAGAAAATAGTAACCACTAATCTGTATAGTTTAAATAAAAGTTATAACACTACAAACCTTCAGATAGATCTGTCACAGAATAACACACAAATAATTCGGAGGGGACGAGTATGATGGCATATCCTCAAGTTTTTAGAAGGTAATATATAGAAGGCCTATAATGTACACCACTATTTACCTTGTTTTATATTGTGATAATATAATAATGATATTTACAATTAGAGTTTTCAATGAATACAACTTTGTACGTCAGTCTGAATTTACAGAAAATTGTAACTACGAATCTGTATACTTTAAATAAAAGTTATAACACTACAAACCTTCAGATAGTTCTGTCACAGAATAACACACAAATAATTCGGGTGGGACGAGTATGATGGCATATCCTCAAGTTTTAGAAGGTAATATAATGTACACCACTATTTACCTTGTTTTATATTGTGATAATATAATGATGATATTTACAATTTGAGTTTTCAATGAATACAATTTTGTACGTCAGTCTGAATTTACAGAAAATAGTAACCACTAATCTATATATACTTTAAATGAAAGTTATAACACTGCATACCTTCAGATAGTTCTGCTGTCACAGAACAACACACAAATAATTCGGAGGGGACGAGTATGATGGCATATCCTCAAGTTTTTAGAAGGTAATATAATGTACACCACTATTTACCTTGTTTTATATTGTGATAATTTAATGATGATATTTACAATTTGAGTTTTCAATGAATACAATTTTGTACGTCAGTCTGAATTTACAGAAAATAGTAACTATTAATCTGTATACTTTAAATGAAAGTTATAACACTACAAACCTTCAGATAGATCTGTCGCAGAACAGAAAGAATTTGGAGAGGGAGAGTATGTTGACATATCCTTAAGTTTTTAGAAGGTAATATGAAGTCCTTTACTATTTACTTTGTTTAGTATTGTATAATGATGAAAGTTACAATTTGAGTTTTCAATGAATACAATTTGTACGTCAGTCTGAATTTACAGAAAAAAAGTGACCACTAATCTGTATACTTAAAATAAAAGTTATAACGCTACATACCTTCAGATAGTTCTGTCACAGAATAACACACAAATAATTCGGAGAGGAAGAGTATGTTGGCATATAATCCTTAAGTTTTTAGAAAGTAATATAAAGTCCTTTACTATTTTGTATTTACGTTGTTAAGTATTGTGATAATATAATGATGAAAGTTACAATTTGAGTTTTCAATGAATACAATTTTGTACGTCAGTCTGAATTTACAGAAAATAGTAACCACTAATCTGTATAGTTTAAATAAAAGTTATAACACTACAAACCTTCAGATAGATCTGTCACAGAATAACACACAAATAATTCGGAGGGGACGAGTATGATGGCATATCCTCAAGTTTTTAGAAGGTAATATATAGAAGGCCTATAATGTACACCACTATTTACCTTGTTTTATATTGTGATAATATAATAATGATATTTACAATTTGAGTTTTCAATGAATACAACTTTGTACGTCAGTCTGAATTTACAGAAAATTGTAACTACGAATCTGTATACTTTAAATAAAAGTTATAACACTACAAACCTTCAGATAGTTCTGTCACAGAATAACACACAAATAATTCGGGTGGGACGAGTATGATGGCATATCCTCAAGTTTTTAGAAGGTAATATAATGTACACCACTATTTACCTTGTTTTATATTGTGATAATATAATGATGATATTTACAATTTGAGTTTTCAATGAATACAATTTTGTACGTCAGTCTGAATTTACAGAAAATAGTAACCAATAATCTATATATACTTTAAATGAAAGTTATAACACTGCATACCTTCAGATAGTTCTGCTGTCACAGAACAACACACAAATAATTCGGAGGGGACGAGTATGATGGCATATCCTCAAGTTTTTAGAAGGTAATATAATGTCCACCACTATTGACCTTGTTTTATATTGTGATAATATAATGATGATATTTACAATTTGAGTTTTCAATGAATATACTTTTGTACGTCAGTCTGAATTTACAGAAAATAGTAACTATTAATCTGTATACTTTAAATGAAATTTATAACACTACAAACCTTCAGATAGTTCTGTCGCAGAACAACACACAAATAATTCGGAGAGGGAGAGTATGTTGGCATATCATCCAGTTTTTAGAAGGTAATATAATGTCCACCACTATTTACGTTGCTTTATAGTGTGATAATATAATGATGATAGTTACAATTTGAGTTATCAATGAATACAACTTTGTACGTCAGTCTGAATTTACAGAAAATAGTAACCACTAATCTGTATAATTTTAATGATGATCATAACCCAATGTATTCTCCAGAAGCCCATAGTCCAGAATGATCTGTCGTAGTACAACACTCTCATAGAAAAGATGGACATTAAACATTGTGGCGATTTACGCAGAACAATGATAATACAGACTTTGAGATTATCTGATTTGAGGGGCATTAATTTATGACTATCAAGAGTATATTGACATTTTATGGGGTGATATGGTTTATAGTTTTATCAAGTAATAAGAATGGTTGTAAATAAACTATAACCGTGTACAATATGTTTATTTTTCAGATTTGTGGTTTATTCACTGCTATTACTAGCCATGATTCATATTACTATTTTCATGTCATTTCAAATGCAATGATTTGTTCCCCAACCAAAAGTACAATCTTATGTCAGAAATTTGAATTAGATAAAATATTTTCCGTCCTAACCACAACATAAATTCAGAAATATAATGATAAAATGGCAGCGGTAGAAATTACGAATGTTATCCCGTCGGCTACACACGAGCAGGAGGACGCGTGGCTATACGGCGACGCAACTAAAGATCCCTCGCAATCAACACTAGACGCAAACGCCGTCGAGTTCGTCTCAAAAGTTCAGAACGGCAATGCTGACCACTCAGCCTCAGATAGTGACTCAGACGATGATGATGATGACGATGTTCAGATTACTATTGGCGAGATCAACAAGAATGCCCCAGCTACGTTTGGCATGGCATCCTCTTTTGGACCCCCTCAGATTACCCCTATCACACAACCAAAACAAGTGAGCGTTATCACTGCTCCCCCACCAACTATTACTCATGTTTCTCAGCCTACTACCATGACCAGCAAGCGAACTATTGATGTTAACGCTGTGGGAAATATCAATGGGGTACCCATTTATGACTATGATATTGATACCATGTGCGAAGAGAAGCCCTGGCGTATCCCTGGGGCTGATTTAACAGACTATTTTAATTATGGTTTCAATGAGGAGAGCTGGAAAGCGTATTGTGATAAACAGAAAGGAGTACGAGGGATAGCTTCAGAGAAAAACAGGGAGCTGTCTGTAGTGCAACGTCCGTCTGTTATGAGCGCCACCCTATTACCAGAACTTCCCAAACTACCAGGACACCATTCTGGTGGCACTATAGGCGTGCTTGGTGCTAAGAGTCAGGCTGCCACTACAATAGTACCCCAACAAACCATCTCCTGTATCCCTTCTATCGGGTCTCTAGTGAATGCTCCCCGCCTCATGCTGCCCGCTGGTTTGGGCAATGTCCTCTTCCCACCCTCACTATCCCAACCAGCCTTCCTACCACTGCCACAATTACAGCCCCCAGGTCTAGCGCCTCCTCCCGAGATGAGACCTATGATTAAGCAGGAGGACGGCAGTACTCCCATGCAGCTCCCTCCATCCAGTGGTCCTCTACCTCCCCCAACTATGTTCCCCCCTCCTGGTCTCCCCTCTATGTTACCTCCTCCTGGTGTTAATCTCAGTAACATGGTCCCTCCAATGATGCTGCCACCACCAGCATTCAGCGATGAGAGTGGGGCCTCCAGCGATGAGGAATCTCGGAGAAGGAGACGCAGTCCACGGAGATCACACAGTCGAGAGCGAAAGAGGTCACGTGAGCGGAGGTCGCGCGGTGACGGACATCGCGAGCGCAGCACAGAACATCGCAGTCGATCACGGAGGTCACCAAGAAAAGAAAAGAAGAGCAGAAAATCAGCTCGAGGAGATGAGAGTAGGCATCGACACCGAGATGAAGACAGAAGTAAGCGCAGTCGACGGAAAAAGGACAGCGAAAACGGGGGAGAGACAGGCGAAAATGGGGTGGAAGCTGAGCAATGAGTTTCAAATTGTTTTCATATTTAAAGAATGTAATCAGACCACAACGAGCCGTGTAGTACACCGGACAGAAAGGGCTGGCCGTGTCACACCATGTCCACTAGATGAGCTTACAGTTATGTTCACTTGGTTGCGAGGATTTTCAAGTGCCTTGGTTTATAATGTTATAATTATCATTATTAATGTCTTGTTTATGTTTGAAAGCTAACCTAAAGCTATTTTATTAATTTATTTGAGGTGTGAGTGTAGTGATCTATGGTATTGAGTTGTGGAGTTGTTAAGCTCATGAAACAGACTTGCATAGGCGTTTTACTGTCGTGTTATTGACAATTAAGTTTCTTAGAAAAGCAAATATATCATGATGATATTATGAGAGCTTTTGCAAAGTATTTATTTGTAAATTCTCATTTTTGCATTTTTGCATTTTTAGCAGAATCGATTTTATTTCTAGTCCATTCTATAATATCTTTGAAAACTATTATCGTAGATCTTTGAAATTAATTTTTCAACATTATTGTTTTTATCTAATTGCTCAAAATTATATAGTCATCTAAATATATATGAAAATATCAAGGAAGTACAATTTTAATCGTTCCCCGCTAAGCTCTAAAACGCCAATGGTTATCGCCACTTTAACAGGTTGATGGTCCTAGAAAAAGGGTATGCCTAAGAAGTTCAAGGGTGAAAACACCAAGGCAGTAGAGGCACGAAACAGAAAGGCAGCGGTAGATGCTGAGAAGAACGCTGTAGCTCGGCAAGCTGCTGAAGAGGACGCATGGCGTGACGATGATAAACTTACCAACAAGAAGGCTCAGCGAAAGGTTCGATCTTTCCCCTAGAATTTCAAGTTAAAGTAGTTTTTTGTTAGGACCCAATCCGCATTTGAAATAAGGTTGGAACAAATGTTGCGTTTGAGAACTTAATTTCCTATTGCGTTCTTATTCGTCGCATTCTCACTCATTGCGTCAATTTAATTTTAGATTCGGTCCTAGAACGCCGAAGAAGAAAAGAGAAAAGCTGCGGTAGAAAGGAAGAAACTTGCCGCCCAATTGTTGGTTGAAGAAGAAGCTGCAATCGAGGCTGCATCAAGTGGCAAGACTCCTGCAAAGAAGTTAACTCAAGCAGAACTATCTTTGAGAAAGGCTGAACAAGAGCGTGAAAATGAGGAAGCTCAGCAAGAAAAGGTATGATTATCGCCGATAATAGAGGTGCGTTGTACCGCGTTAAATAGGAAGCAGAGAATGGGGCAAACGTGCATTGTTCGCAAACGACTAGCAAAATTTTCGCTATCATGTTATGTAAGCAAACGAATACAGAATTTCATGATCGCGCGCAAAATATATATATTAAACTACGCCGAACTCGATCGAGCAACAAAATCTGAAAAGAATCGTGTACTCTCAATAGTAAGGGGAAAAGTGGCATTCCGTTGGATTCGAATGTTCACAAGGATTTCTCAACGGAATATGGTAGTTAGGACCCCTACGAACATAATTAGACTTGTTGCCAATTTTGTATCTCAACGGAAACACCACTTTTACCACTTTTTACCACCTTTGTACCACCTTTCTGGTTTGCCAAATATCTTTAGTTGCGAACATCATAGAAGGCTGCAAATTAACCTAGAATGTTTATCTTATCAAGGAGTAAAACTTTTGTATGAAAAATTTTTACATCGGACAATCAGCTAATTGGATAATTACCAATTAGTTAATCACCAAAAAAAGTGAAAATTTTTTATTGGCTCAAAATGATTGAAATCGTTTGAATCACGGAGAAATGTAGTTTTTAGAAAAACTTCAAAAATTTTTGACTTAAAATTTTTTTTCGAGACTTCAAAAAAAAAGTTTGAAAATTTGAAAATATTTTTTTCCGCCAAAAGTGATCGAATTGCATGAAACGTGGATAAAAATGCCTTGCAGAAAAATTTCGAAGATTTTTAGATTGGGGAATACTAAAATCATCAATATTTGAAGTTGGAGTTCAGTAAATCTCGACATATTTTAGTAATTAGGAATAGCTTAGCGGAAAGGGCTGGACCTGAAAAAGGTTAACCACACAATATTAGAGTTTCATAACTAATTACAATACAGCTGGACCTGAAAAAGGTTAACCACACAATATTAGAGTTTCATAACTAATTACAATACAGCTTTATCAAATTCCACATAAAGAAACAGCACAAAAGGACCATTTAAGATCGAACCGATTTTACCTGCTGTACTATCATTTTATTGATTTCAATGATCAAAACCTCTGTCAATCTTGCCAATCTATACCGGGTATCTGAATGTACCGGACCTCTTATTTACCTCTATAATTAGACCCAGTTGTGCAAGAAATGCGATTTCTCACAGGGGTTTCTTTAAACTGTGCACTTTTTGTCACTCTCGCAACTCACAAGAGGCCTGGTATTATAGGGGGGTATAGGAAGCGAGTGTAAATATACCTTCCATCATCCATTGTGGCTATTTTGTATTGTGAATGCGCATGCCGCTTCGTTTGCTATGCCATATACCTCGAATAACCCCCATATGTCATTGCCAGGGTCGGGATAGAGCTGGAGATAGCATTGAAAAGTTGCTAGAAATAGCTAGATTTAGAGTAAACTGGTGGTAGCTGGGTGGTGCTAGCATGGATGTAGCAGAACGTAGCTACACGGGGTTTCATTGGAGTTGGTTATTTTAATGGCCAAAGAGTGCCGGAACTAAAGTTACTAAAGATTGCAGTTGAGGGGCAGTGTAAACCACGGTGTAGTCAGGGACACAGAGCTACAGTGCAGGAGTACTGCAAAAGAACAGTGCAAGTGATACAGTCTGCAACAGTAAAACTCCGAAGAAGGAGATAAGATTGTGGCTGCAGAGGAGGAGAGTAGCTGGAACCTGATTGTGTTTGTGTTGAAAGAAGAGGAGGAAGAAGAGTTGCCTGCTCTGGTAACTGCATTTTTGGAAGAGGTGGGGTGAGAACTTATTTTCAAGCGACAAGGGTGGGCTGGAAGCAACCAGATACAGCTATCCGACCTATTAAGATCACCGTCCTGAGCTTAACAGCATTTCATCAGAATCTGATGAAAACAGAGAGACTGACCCACCCTTTTTAGATCCAACGAAACCCTTTATATAAATCGATTTTCCGCATGAATTACGTCATGGTATCTTCTTATCAAGGCTACAGACCTTGCCGTACCGGATTTATTGATCAAAGTGAGTCTCTTTAGTAGGGCCTGTCGTGATATCATGGATCGCTTAGGTTCCACCAGGATCTGGTAGTCCTCATAATTCTGCGGCCTCTATGTGTCGTCATCTCGCACAACTCTTTAAGAATCTTGTGGATTTGGCATGTGAAAATTTGCAGCGCTCCAGACATTGATTGGGTTAACGAGGTGTCGTACGTCACATCAAGATCGGGTGACAGGGGGCTGACCAGGCCAGAACCCAATTGATTGGGCCTGAGGTCACGTGATTATGAGCCTGAGGTCACGTGACTATGACGTCACCAGACCTTCCTCTCCGTTTCCCGCTCATTGGACCAGGTGAGCTTGCATGCATGTGAATGTGGGTGTAAGTATAGCTGTACTGTAGTTTATACCTAATTAAACCCCTATAGAAACCGACAATTTATTTTCTGGCAAAAAGCTAGAAATTTACCAAAATATCGTCATTGTTTTAAATCTATTTTGATGACCATTCCCGACCTAAAATCGCACGAGAAATCGATTAAACTTGGTTTCAGAACTCAACAATGCTTCCTTATGCCTCAAAATCCATGTTTTATCGATACAATCAACATATCGATCCTGTAGTTCAACTTATTACTTAAAGGGTTCAAGTATAGTTACGCGGTAGACAAACTAAAACAAAATTGTAGGTTTATAACCTACCAGGACGTGTGCCGAGTTAAGCTCGAGTCGAAGGTAATATTTGGAACAAATATTTTACGAGTATCACCCGTTAAAAACAAAACACCAGTTTAATTGTCCTTTTGTCTGAACCATATGGTTAAGTGTTAGCTGTATACAATACGTCAAAAAATCATATCAACGAATCGTATCAAAGTCCATCATCAGTTAGTAACAGAGTAGAGATCAGAGCAGAACGAAGGAACATGCTTGCTTGCGGGAATCTTTTCTGAAATATTGTCGACAGGTTAAAATCAATTGCATTTCTGTTACTTGGGTGTGGGATATAAAGCATTATATGGTTGTTAAAAGCCTACATAATACTCTTCACTTAATATGGCTAATGTTTAGCATTATTTATAATCCATTATAATGATGTGATCTGAAATTAAGTTAAGCTACAGACGTTTTTTGTGACAATACAAGAAATAATGGATGAGCTCCTACTTGTGAGCCACTTAGGAAATACAATATATCTGATTTATTGTACCTTCACTTCTTCTGCTTTTTCGTTTGCTGTCTGTGCTCTGCGACAGCAATTTGTTGCCCAGATTTCCTATCCTCCCCTACCACCTTCTTACCACAGGTTGACATAAGCGCCACTTGCCTCTCAACAGCTTGGTTGTTGTTAACAAATGCTGTTTTGAGAGGCATTCTTATAAATGATATAATAGCGGCTCTCGTCAGACCACGTAGCAAGGGGGGTAGGGTTACCCGAGCATACTCCTTCTTTGCTGAGGATAATTGTGTTATTTTTTATTTACATCATGTACTGAGCCTGAAGAAACTATAACCTAACTCGAACACGTTAGTTCTAGTAGTAGTATAATAATATGTCGAATGAATGATTGATTAAGCTGATCGTTAACATATGACACATATTATGGAAAAAAGTATCTTTGATAATAATAATTATTACCGACTCCCGTTTTAAACCACCATCCACAAGAATCCTCCTTGTAGATGGGGAGCTCAGTGGACTTCCTTGCGGTCATGTCCAAATCTGGCTTGTAAAAAACCCTCACACGTCGGGAGGGTGGCACCTTCTCCTCCCAGTCAAGGATTTTCAGACAATCGGCCACACCCTCCCTCCGCACATCTTGTTCATCATCGGCTGAAATTCATCATTCAATCAAATTTAAAAGATTTTATAGAAATGAATAATATATCCCAATTACTTAAACTGATAAAGTGCTACGTAGGACACATTATGAAACATCATTTAAAGGCTGTGTTATGGTGTTAAATAAATACCTAGTTTAGCGAGAATGACTGATTCAGGGTGTCCGAAATAGCTAAAAGATCGATTATTACGCTATAAACCCTGCTGTGTACAGCTTATTGGCCACTTGTATGTGCTCGTAGTCATATAATATATATGTGTGAAAAGATGCCGATAATACTTCCAGATTATTTCTCGAATAAATTCATAAATAACCTTATAAAACAAAACATTATATTAATATAAAAAGTAGTTGTCTTTTCCATTTATACTGTACCAATCGCCGACTCACTTTTAGCATTTAGCCTCACCAGCGCAACTTGAATTATATTAGAAATCGTTAACAAAATATTTTACGAAAGTAGATCTGCTGGATTTGCAAAGTGCTAGTAATAACCAAAGATGGTCACCTTTTTATTTCATTACATTCCCAGGTAGTAGGTTTACGAAAATTGAAATACCAGACACTTTAAAAAAGCTGCCCAACTGAAATTGCACAAATTGCAATACAACTGCCACATAACACAAGGTTTTTATACATATAAGTTTATTTAACGGGTGATACTCGTAAAATATTTGTTCCAAATATTACCTTCGACTCGAGCTTAACTCGGCACACGTCCTGGTAGGTTATAAACCTACAATTTTGTTTTAGTTTGTCTACCGCGTAACTATACTTGAACCCTTTAAGTAATAAGTTGAACTACAGGATCGATATGTTGATTGTATCGATAAAACATGGATTTTGAGGCATAAGGAAGCATTGTTGAGTTCTGAAACCAAGTTTAATCGATTTCTCGTGCGATTTTAGGTCAGGAATGGTCATCAAAATAGATTTAAAACAATGACGATATTTTGGTAAATTTCTAGCTTTCTGCCAGAAAATAAATTGTCGGTTTCTATAGGGGTTTAATTAGGTATAAACTACAGTACAGCTATACTTACACCCACATTCACATGCATGCAAGCTCACCTGGTCCAATGAGCGGGAAACGGAGAGGAAGGTCTGGTGACGTCATAGTCACGTGACCTCAGGCTCATAATCACGTGACCTCAGGCCCAATCAATTGGGTTCTGGCCTGGTCAGCCCCCTGTCACCCGATCTTGAGGTGACGTACGACACCTCGTTAACCCAATCAATGTCTGGAGGGCTGCAAATTTTCACATGCCAAATCCACAAGATTCTTAAAGAGTTGTGCGAGATGACGACACATAGAGGCCGCAGAATTATGAGGACTACCAGATCCTGGTGGAACCTAAGCGATCCATGATATCACGACAGGCCCTATCTCTTTAGCCCTCTTCTTCTTTAGAGCTTTAGGTTGGTGATCAAACTCTTCGCTACTCGCTCCTCACTGGATCTATCAGGACAGATTCACATCTTTTTAGGTCTCAACCAGCCTTAGTTTTCCTGTTTTCATCATGTAGTACGTTCTGCTACCTCCATTTTAGCACCACCCAGCTTCCATCAGTTCACTCTAAGTCTAGCTTCGTCGGAGTTTTACTGTTGCAGACTGTATCACTTGCACTGTTCTTTTGCAGTACTCCTGCACTGTAGCTCTGTGTCCCTGACTACACCGTGGTTTACACTGCCCCTCAACTGCAATCTTTAGTAACTTTAGTTCCGGCACTCTTTGGCCATTAAAATAACCAACTCCAATGAAACCCCGTGTAGCTACGTTCTGCTACATCCATGCTAGCACCACCCAGCTACCACCAGTTTACTCTAAATCTAGCTATTTCTAGCAACTTTTCAATGCTATCTCCAGCTCTATCCCGACCCTGGCAATGACATATGGGGGTTATTCGAGGTATATGGCATAGCAAACGAAGCGGCATGCGCATTCACAATACAAAATAGCCACAATGGATGATGGAAGGTATATTTACACTCGCTTCCTATACCCCCCTATAATACCAGGCCTCTTGCGAGTTGCGAGAGTGACAAAAAGTGCACAGTTTAAAGAAACCCCTGTGAGAAATCGCATTTCTTGCACAACTGGGTCTAATTATAGAGGTAAATAAGAGGTCCGGTACATTCAGATACCCGGTATAGATTGGCAAGATTGACAGAGGTTTTGATCATTGAAATCAATAAAATGATAGAACAGCAGGTAAAATCGGTTCGATCTTAAATGGTCCTTTTGTGCTGTTTCTTTATGTGGAATTTGATAAAGCTGTATTGTAATTAGTTATGAAACTCTAATATTGTGTGGTTAACCTTTTTCAGGTCCAGCTGTATTGTAATTAGTTATGAAACTCTAATATTGTGTGGTTAACCTTTTTCAGGTCCAGCCCTTTCCGCTAAGCTATTCCTAATTACTAAAATATGTCGAGATTTACTGAACTCCAACTTCAAATATTGATGATTTTAGTATTCCCCAATCTAAAAATCTTCGAAATTTTTCTGCAAGGCATTTTTATCCACGTTTCATGCAATTCGATCACTTTTGGCGGAAAAAAATATTTTCAAATTTTCAAACTTTTTTTTGAAGTCTCGAAAAAAAATTGTAAGTCAAAAATTTTTGAAATTTTTCTAAAAACTACATTTCTCCGTGTTTCAAACGATTTCAATCATTTTGAGCCAATAAAAAATTTTCACTTTTTTTGGTGATTAACTAATTGGTAATTATCCAATTAGCTGATTGTCCAATGTAAAAATTTTTCATACAAAAGTTTTACTCCTTGATAAGATAAACATTCTAGGTTAATTTTCAGCCTTCTACGACGTTCACAACTAAAGATATTTGGCAAACCAGAAAGGTGGTACAAAGGTGGTAAAAAGTGGTAAAAGTGGTGTTTCTGTTGAGATACAAAATTGGCAACAAGTCTAATTATATTCGTAGGGGTCCTAACTACCATATTCCGTTGAGAAATCCTTGTGAACATTCAAATCCAACGGAACCCTTAAATCGACCACTTTTCCCCTTACTACAAGATCGCGGCCGTCGACCAGAAGTACATCGTGATATTGCAACGATAATATTGTATAATTATATCCGGTTACAATAAAGCAGCTGCCACATAACAACTTTCATGGATTTCCAAACGATAAGCTCAAACTTGTTTACCCTTTTATTTAGACATAAAACTCTGACATTACCTCAGGAGGATCCCATACCAGAGAATTTAAATCACGTAATGACGGATGTTGAAGTAGCCCAGAGCGTGGAGCAAGCTATTGAGGCTCTAGACATTGTAAGTTTACTAATTTGACCTTGCAATTTCAGTTAACTCGATGTTTCTAGTATTCTCAGTGTCATGCTCGCCGAGAGACTGGGATTAACTTAATTAAAATCTGTTTCCTCAGGCGGATGGTGTTGATATGCATCCAGAGAAACGAGTGAAAGCAGCGTGGAACGCGTTTGAGCAAGGTCGAATTTCTCAACTGCGAGCGGAAAATCCTTCCCTGAGGCTGTCACAAGTCAGACAAATGTTGAGGAAAGAATGGCAGAAGTCTCCCTTGAATCCTATGAACCAGTGACGATTCTTGTGTTAATTTGTGATCTTTAAAAAAAAGTGCCTTGCAAAATATTTTTATTTTGGGATTTGGTTTTCAGTAGTGTTGATCTTGTAATCGTGATAGATGAGAGTTAATAAATAAGTGGAAATTATTTAAATCTCCTGATATGTTTTAAATATCTACATATTTTATTCATTTAGTTATTCTGATATCGTCAACTCCAGGAAATACATAGTTGTTTTACTGCCTACTCATTAGCGTCACAAACTTATTTTACTATACAATACCTATTAACTGGTAGCTGTATTACATTGAACGTCATATATTTGCACAATATATTTTTATCCATTTACTAAAACAAATCCATGTTTTAGGTTTAAACTATGACAGTAAGTATGAAAGGTGGCGTGGAGCTTCCCAGTAATTGTGTTCTCAATACCCGCTATTCGTTCGGCAAACTCTTTCTGAACTGCTTTTTTAAGGATTATATTTTGACCTAGGGATGTCGGTAAGTGGGGCCGAGTTGTTGAAGAGGTGGTGAGCAGCGCATGGTAAGTGTGCTCCTAGGTAAGTAGAATTCTTTCTAAAATGGGTACATTTTCTCCAGAAACATGTTTGGAACTGATCCCCACACTCACACGCCAGCAAGTGGAACGGGAGTATGTCTACTTCGGGGGAACTGTCGAGCTTGCCATAAAAGACAAGAGGTACAAACTCCGAGAATACCTGGTTAACCTGAGGGATGCCCAAAATGTAGCACCAGCCACCGCGGCATATGCAGGCTTTGCTGTACCAGCTGCTGATCAGACACCATACCTTGCTGCTTCAGTACAACCAGCGGACACTATCTCCCCCCACATGTACCAAGCAGCACTATCAACTCAGGAGCCTTATACCACACAGACTTCAAGTGAGAGCTACATTACTGGCGCAGGTGGTGACAAACAGTTAGACTCTCTCAATAACCTGTGTCATAAGATAAATGCAAATGTGCTGCAGCTGAAGCTGGATTTTGCGGAGTATGCGGTTGGCAGGGGAGCAGGCGGTTGCTATGATGCGGTTGATATGGATCTGTCAGACCCTGGTGAGGATATGGAGCTATCAGACTGTGATATGACTCAGGAGGACAAGGGTGCTAGTGATCATAATGGCTCAAGGTCCCAAATGTAAGTCACTTCTTTTTAGATCATGAATTATATTACAAATAGCACACATTAATTGTTCCGAATTCTGCTCCATTAAATTCTCAATCGTTAATTTCATAGCTAAGATCTCACCTTTCCATACTCATTCATTCATTTCCACAAATTCGCTCTGTTTATAATTGACCTGAGTTATAAAGATTTTACATTACCGCATATATTCAGGTAAAGTGGTAATGTATGCTCTGTATGACACATAAATCTTTATTGAGCTCTGCTAGCTTGGTAAGTATTGTAGGCCCCGTCTCTCGATATTGGTTTCTATCTCGACCTGGCTTGCAATGTTACTCTGACTAAATTTCTACTACACTATGTTTTGTCGCTATATTTCGTGGAAATCCTTGTATAGGAACGTTTTTAGTTGATTTAAGTTTTTATCATTGTCTGTTGGATTGTAGTTTATGTACATATATGTTTATTGTTTATTATGTACCGATTAGTAGATTAAAAAGTTACCAGTATCTTAAATGTGGATCTTATTTTAGCATAAGGGCAGTCCCAAGGGCTCCTAGCTCTCAATGAGTAGATATAATGATACTAGGTAAGTAGTTTTAATCAGACGATACACGTCTTTCAGTAATTGCACTAGTCTGATACAGTCTCAATCTAAGAGCACTCCATGATTTATTATGGAATTTTAGAGCCCACAATCAACAGCCAATCGCATCCTATTCAGACTTTTTCACACCTTTTCTTTTTAAGTATATTATACACATACCGTAATTTGACCATCATTCTCCAATTCAGGCACCAGCATAGAGGTGGCACAGCACACCCCAGAGGAGGCTCTCTGATGAGAGGAGGGCGAGGGAGAGGTCCACCACAACGTAGTCCTAACCTTGAAACCAGACCTCCCAACGGTGCACAGCACAACGGTTCTAACACTCATACTAGACCTATTGGTAATGCCAATGGTGACAGAGGAATCAGTAGAATCAGCGATATTGATAGCGGGGGTGTGGCCGGAGCAGGGGCTGTAGGTGGATCATGGAGTAGGGGTCCTTCAGGCCCTCCTCCCCGAAGTAGAGCTCAGCCCAGAGAGTTCAATAGAGGGAGCAGATTTTCTAGTAGTCGAGGCGGTCAATCACAACCTAGACGCGATTTTGGAGTGCGAGGTCTTGGTAATAAGGAGGAGATACCTCATGATTTGAAACCTGTTGATTGGGAAAGTCAGACTTTGGAAACAATAAACAAAGTGCATTATAATGTAAGATTTTCTATACCAGATTTTATTCATGCTTTTCATTTGAATCTCTGGAGGTTTCGCTATTTTCAGACTCGTCTAAAATTTCTAATTTAATAATTTGCAGCTTAACCACCAGACTAACGGGTGTTTTATCAGGAGCACGACGCTACATCAACAAGACCTTCAGAAGAGATCAACAAATGGAGGGGGGAATGTAAAATGACAGTATCAGACACGTGCCCAAATCCTATCCTTAAATTTGAGGAAGTTTCCTTTCCAAACGCCATTAAAAGCGTAATCCAACAGAACAAGTTCCAAGAACCTACACCAATTCAGGCTCAAGGCTGGCCTATAGCGCTGTCCGGGCGGGACGTTATCGGTATTGCTCAGACAGGTAGCGGGAAAACACTCGGGTTCACTCTGCCAGGACTAATTCATATAAACGCTCAACCCCCGGGAAATGTGGGTCCTATTGCCTTGTGCTTGTGTCCTACCAGAGAACTTGCCCAGCAAGTAATGGAGGTCTGTGAACAATACACTACTGCCATGCGAATGAGAGCAGTTTGTTTGTACGGAGGCTCCAGCAAATATCAGCAGATCCGACAACTGGCTGACGGAGTAGAGTTTGCTATCGCCACTCCGGGCAGACTTATAGACTTACTGAACACTAAGAAGATCAGTTTGAGGCGTTGTTCTTATTTAGTATTGGACGAGGCAGATCGCATGCTGGACATGGGGTTTGAGCCACAAATCAGCGCTATAATTTCACAAATCAGACCAGACCGTCAGACTCTAATGTGGTCAGCAACCTGGCCCGAAGAGGTCCAGGAACTCGCCCACAAGTTCCTCAAAGATCCACTTCAAATAAACATAGGATCAGAGAAACTGGTGGCGAATCATGCGATTAAACAAGTAGTAGAAGTGATAGAGGACTTTGAGAAGTTTGATAAACTGAAAATGTTACTGCAGCAGATTACAGACGAGGGTGATAATAAAACTCTTGTGTTTACTGATACTAAACGTATGGCTGACAATATTGCCAACGAGCTTAAAGGTGGAGGGTAAGTGTTCAGTCCTTGGAAATTTATTTCTTCAAGAAACTTCAAATTGGAGTATCAATTCTTCCGTTAGACTCTGATAAGCATTTTGTAGATATATGATTAAAATCATGCTAGGTGAATTTCTAGACTAAAATATATGAAACTTTATTCACCAGTTGGACGGTGGAATCAATGCATGGTGATAAGAGGCAGGAAGATCGAGAACGGATTCTCTCAGATTTCAAGCGGGGATACATCTCCATTTTAGTGGCCACTGATGTAGCCTCTCGTGGAATAGGTATGTTGTAACGTATAAGTAAACTTATTTACTACGCAAGTGAATTGTATTGTTCCCATCATTAGGTTAACTTAGACTAGAAATGCACACTTTTCATGATACACTGCATTGTACTTAAAGATACAAAGTGTAAATATCGACAAAACTAAATATGTACTGTAAAAGAATTCTCTCACGTCACGAGCTTAGTATTGTACTAACATCTGCTGACGATCGCAAATATTTCAGACATTTCCGACATTACGAACGTTATAAATTTCGACTACCCGAACACCTCTGAAGACTACGTCCACCGAATTGGCAGAACAGCGCGCGCCTCCCGCAAGGGAACAGCCTACACCTTCATCACACCTAACGACTCCCGGAATATAGACGATCTTGTGGAGGTCCTGAAGGAGGCTAATCAGGAGATCCCTCATGCTCTCATGATGATGAGGGAGTGTTTCGGGGGAACCAAACCTGGTGCGTAATCATCACTTATCATCATCTAGTATCTTTGTTATTGAATGAATCTTATATTTTTTAATTTAGAGGATCGTATCAGTACTCACTCTAAAAGTTGTAGCATGGTTTTTCTTTTAATGGAATACTAAGTACTGATAAGCCATCTTTACAGAGAAGAAAGTGTGGGTACCCAAACACGCGAAGAGGAAGATAGAAGCTCAAGCGCGTGAAGCTGAACGGAAGAGACTGGCCCAGACCCCCACGTGCTCCACAGCCGACCAAAAACCTCTTTACGCTTGGGACGACCCCAACAAAGAGGACAGTGACAGTGATGTGGAGGTACGGAAACGTCAGAACTGTCCTGAAACAGACGACGACTGGGCGGCCCTGTACGGGAACGCAGGGGACCCTGGGGACAGGGGTAAGGGACAGGAATCAGAAACTAATGAAACTAATGAGCCAGAAAATGGTTAATTGGACGTTAATAATTAAAACGACATATTCCACAGACTATTTGATGTTGACACATTTATATTTTTACTCGTTTTTTTTGGACCTTTTGTTTTTGGGTCAAAGTTTAGCCTTTACTAAGTTATTTGATTACAGTTATAATGGATATATTGCTGCTGAAGCTTTCAACCATTTTTGAAATAGAGATTTTCATTTGTTCACCACCCCTCCGAACTTATTTTATGACGGTAGCACAAAAACTTGAGGATTTATTCTTTGCATTGTAAACATTAAAGAGAAACGTTATAGATACGATATAATAATAATGTTATACAAATTAATATGTTTAAGTTAGAAAATTCAAACTTAGTCAGGAAATACAATTAGCACCAATTCAGCAGCTGCTAAGCTATTTTAGTTTATTTAGTTGAATTTGATGAATGAATTTAATATAATATATCGTAATTTAAGAGAAAGAGCAAATAATATTCCTTAATAACATTATCAATACCAAGCTCCTCCATTAGAAAACGATTAAAATAATAAGAATCAAGTTAACTCTGATTTGTCTAGAATTTGTATAAAACACGTCCTATTCCCGCCTTATCTAATATTACTGCTCATCCAGACCTGCTGTTTGATTTCAATCTGCCAAACAGGGCTCCTCTAGTAGTGATCAACCCTATCACTTCTCTCTGTTTTACTAATTGTAGATTGTTCTGTCACAGCTCTAGGATCCACTGTTATTGTACTAGTTCATGTTTTAGCATGTACGCCCATTCTTCCTTCACGTTTCTATTGGGATACTTCTCCTCTATTCCTGCAAATTAAGAAGTGTTAGTACAATGTGGAAATGTACATTGTACACTGCACAATATGGAAATGTACCATGTATACTGTACACATGTACATTGTACAAATGACGTAAACCCGGAGAATTGTTACCCGGTTACCTCTTCTCTCCTTGTTTGTTGTTATCACAGAGATGTGCACTAATTCCTGCACTTACTCCTTGTTCACTGTTCAGTGTTCACGGATATAAACAGCACAAGTCTTATAAACAGTACAATATTATGTACATGTGGTAAAGTCTACACTATCTGGAGATAATCCTGTATAAATATAAACTCTGTTTTGGACTCAGATTTACGGCTTCACTAATTACACATATGTGTATTGATATTATATATGTGTATTAATACTGTATTAATATTACTGTCGCTCTTAATTTGGGATATAAAGCGATATGATTATGCCAAAAAATATGTTTAGATTTCAAATTAATTTGTGATATACAGATTGAGATATGTGAACGAAATGTACATGCATTGTATGTATAGAAAAAGCTTACGATTGAGCTGAATGTTGCCGTATAGAAGACTCAGAGCGACAATAACGACATCTGAAATAAAACAGGCCACCCATATCCCGAACATTGCGAACTTTATGTGATCGTACAGTGTCATCGCTACCAACCCTGCAATATTACCATTATTAGCATAATTAGCATAATTAGTCTTTACATTTTCCCTCACGTACGTTTAGAGGTAACATGACGTTGCAATTAATAATTGTGGGTATTTTAAAAATTAAATATTATGACAACTGTATCGCAATGTGTGTTTTACCTATGATTATGGTTAGAGAACAGAACATTATGTAGCCTAACTCCAACTTTCTCTTCGTGTTGAATAATTCTGAAAAGTGGCATTGTCATTTAAACTGAACCATTTGGTTATACATCAAACCAGCGTGTATATAAAAACTGCATATTTATCCCATTTATGATAAGCAGCAAATCAAAAGTAATAAATAGTGTAGTATGTTAACTATTTTGTGGCTGTCTGTGCGAGCACATGTACATGTAATGAAATAACAAAAAGATTTATCTCAATAAAACGAACGTCTCATATCCTTCTCAATATCTTCAGTCTCCTTAGCGAGATGTGATCCTAGAGCGAGTTTGTGAAACCTGGACCCAGCTCCCTTTAGATGTGATCCTCCTAACGATATGCTGCTCCGGAAACTTTGAGCATAACCCACTAACTTCCTACCAAACGTCTTTCTCTTTTTACTGAAATGGGGTGTGTGAGTGTTGCTAACCTAGATAAGCTATGTTGAAGTGAAAATAATGGTATGCTGTTCAAATCTGCATTAAGCATTCTGTTTTTTCGACAAAACAGAAACGCAATTTTTCGTTTCCTCTTTATTTTGGCGAACTCAGCTGTTAATGGAAGTTTCATATTGCAGGGTTTTGTTAATTCCTCTGCATGAAATAACATTAACAAGTGGTATGACTCACTGAACTTGGCTGAACTTGTCCTCATCCTCCAAGTGTCCGTGTTTACCAATCTGAGTCTCGTCGTTGAGTTCCAAACAAACACTGCTCACCCTCACCTCCTTCTCCTCCTCCAGTGGGTCAGACTGACAAGAGTTGGGTGACTGTAAGTACTCGTGACCTGCTGGCACGTGGTCTATAAGTGATACTATTGGCTCGTAGTCCTCGTCCACTAGCAAGATGTCCATCTTACTACCACTCAGTTACGCTGTTGTACAGGCAGTGGTATCGGTTCCAGACCTGTTGGTGTCACAGATCTGGCTCCAGCTAATCTGGTTCCAATTCAGTATTGAGAACTTTCCAGTCTTATTTGTTTCTGGTCACAAGCAGGCATGACTCTTCCTGGGCCTCCTAAACCTATTCATTGCACTGGTGGTGAGTGGTGATATATTCAAGTTACTGCAAGGGGTGGTGGGGTGGTGGGGTGGTGGGGTGGTGGGGTGGATGGGTGGTGGGGTGGTGGGGTGGTGGGATGGTGGGGTGGAGCACTTGATAACACGTGTTTATGTTAAACCTGGTGGCTGAGAAAATTATAAATCTCTACTGACAGTATAGTAGTGTATATATATTATATATGTAGTTGTACTGATCTACTGACAGTAGTACAGTAGATCAGTACAACACCTCTTGTAAAGTTACTTTCTTAAAACGCTCACTACTCTATTAATACATATTAGTTAGATTAACACGACAATGGATTAATTCTAAGCTTTATTGACAATTTATGACTGTATTGATCAGCTGATGGCGGTAAAGGAATTTAGTTGTTTAATCTTATTGGTGAGCCGCACGAAATAGTACAAGCTTACAAGATTAGATTAGATTAGAGTACAAGGCTAAGTAACAAAATAATTGACTGTAGAAAGGGTCAAGCTCTGGTGGACAACGTACACATAAGAAGCATTCATAAAATACCGGCAACAATCGAGCCAGACAACCAGACTTGCTGTATTGTACACTTAGTAAAGCTAATATCTGTTCGATCAAATCATGCGTCACACTCAGTAATTGACAAGCATTATTTAGAAATATGTAGAAATGTCGAACCAAAGAATCTACAACAAAGAAAAAGTAGCGATCTTACAATCCGAATTTGTGTATCAAAGAAACTACGCAGTACAAAATCATTGAGCTTATTATTATAAATGAATTGCAGCAGCGGCATTTCGTGTGCCGCAGCATCCTGGTATCCTGCAATAGTGGAACAACACGTGCAAGTATACGCAAAATGAGTAGCAATAAGTATTAGTAATATCGACAACGACTGGTCCGATTTGGAGGAAATTGTGACGAAGCAGTGACCTGTTAAAACAAACTGTGCGCTAACAATCAGTGTGGGTGGTTTGCAGTATTGTGCCTCAGTGAGTCAGTACTGTCCAGTGCAGGCCGGAACTCATTACCACAGATATAAGGAGTTGGAACAGAGCGTACGTGATGTATACAGTGTGCATACTGCAGCTCTCCATACAGTACACGTCGTGTGTACTATACTGTACTGTCAGAGCTGTTACAGCGCGTTACGAAAGTGTTGGTGTACTCTCTCTCTCTCTACCTCTCTAGTACATAGCTGTATCTATAGTAGCTCTCCTCGGTTATGATTTAATGAGTACGCCCATCTGAGGGAAACCCTTTTAATGCATCTATAATAATAATTCGACTAATATTTATCAGCTGTTCATTTGTGTTGACTGTGCAGTTATGGTTGCTCTCATTAAACCTTCAATGCAACCCAAAATACAGCAATGCAATGGAGTGATCCGGCTAATGTTTCCTGGCCTAGACATTAAAACATTTACCGGCTACGTAGTACGTGTTGTTAGTCAAAGACTTTTGTTTTTAGGTTCAAATAGTTCAGCTATATCAGGGTAGATAAGATTTCTTTGATTGAATTAAGGTTTTAGGTTCATGATCAGTTATCAAAATTGTATAAAGTTCTCAAGTCTAGCAAGTGTGTGAACTGTTGGGAAAAATAAACAATTAACAATTAAACAATTAAGCGGTAGGGGTGTTAAAGTAGTTGTGGACCCCTTGAGGAGTGAGAGTCACTCCAGCAGTCAGCACTATGGCTAAGGAAAGTGTGGCAAGTAAATAGTAGCCTGTAGGTATATATAGTAGGTATGGTAGTAGGTATGTAGTAGGATGAACCTAACATACACTGTACCCTCTAGGCTATACCTTGATAAATTGCCTGCTCGTGACGCGGGACACCTTACACCCTTCACAGCAGCGTTATACAGGTCTGGGAAAGGTACATTGACGTATTCCTATAACGTTGATGTGACCGACAAAATGTGTAATATGTCAATTAGTGCAAATAGTGGGTAACTGTGTTCAGTCAAATTCTGTCGGTCATTCTCACCAAAAAAATTAAACTGACTAAGATTAGATTTAGACATCCAAATTAGAAATTTACAATCCTATGGCTATGCAGATGTCACAATTTATCGATCATTGAATAATTTAAATTAATACAAAACTTAGACGGCCGTTCAGCCGTTGGGCTATGCAGTAAATTATGTGGTAAAGTGGATGATACTATGTATATTTATATTCCAGTTCGAAAGCTAAGACCTAATCAGTGTATTTTGTGGCGTTTTTTAATTGTTTGACTAAACATGGCCTGATTGTACTGTTCATCCATCTCTTGTGATTGGAAACTGTTTATACCAGCGCCGCTAAATTCTTTAGCACTAAAAAGTTTTTTATTTAAACTCTTAAGCGGTTACAACTAATATAAAAGCAAAAGAATATTCTGAAACGTGCCGTTAATCTACTCTCACTTAAAAGTAAAAGTAAAAGAGTGGACAAAAAAACGCACTGTCGTGGGTACTAAGCATAATGAGACAGGCGAATAATAAAAATTTAATCGGCTCGATTAAATAGCCGAGCAAGGGAAACTAGGCTCATTACACCGCACAACACAAACAATTATCCTCCAAACGAGAAAAATTATTTGCACATGTCACATGTGGGATAAGGAAGTGGTCAATATATTGTCGGAGATATTATAAATAATTATGAAGGTGTTACTGTATGTGGCGACATGGTGTGCATGTTACTGATATTTCGTGGTTATTGCTTTGCAAGGTAATGGGGCTGTATAAATACCTTCAACTATAATTAAACAGTGGTTCATAAACTACAAATTACAATCTTTCATTGAAAGTTTCAACTAAACGGGTTCCACTTCCATCCAACTAAACGTAAAAAGACACACACGTACAAACATGCTCACAGTAAGATATCCGTTACAGATATACAGGATGTAAATACTACAACTACAAGTATATGCACATCATCAGCCAAACAAATTTCACATATATCAAGTGCCCGTCGTTTCTTTAAGGGGACATACACCAAAACCTTTTTTGCCGGGACCCGGGATTTGACTTCATATTAAGAAAGTATAGATAAAAACAATAAGATTTGATACATTGACAAATTTTTTTGAGAATACGGACGCACTTTCGGAAAAAAATATGTTTTATTTTTGGAAAGTTTTGGAAATTTCGAGAAGTCTGTCACTGTAATACCGATATTTCAGTCATTTTAAACGTTTTTTGGCTGATTTTTTTACCAAACATTATTTACAATTTCTACAAGAAGCCCTACAAAGGATTTTATAATTAAACACTAGATGACGAAGTTACAGACCAAACAAGGTCGAGAGAAGCAAAATTGAAATTTTTGCCTACTATCAAAGTTGTATATTTTACCAATCACCTAGGTCATAAGATATCGCTTCAAAAATTCTTGTGAGTATAGCTGATGATCATATCCAACTTTTTGGAACAGGATTCCACTCGATTTAGAGTTTTAAGGTATGAAATCTGGCCTCAAAGGACTTAGTAAAATTCATCGTTAAAAAGGGCCAAAAGTATCAGTTTTTTTGAAATAATTTTTACAGAATCGTTATCAGTTTGATAAGACGAATTTTTGAGTACCAAATTTATAATACTTAAAGACACAAAATTTGTAAAAAGATGTGTACAATTTGTAAAAAATTTATAGAAGGGGGAGGGACCTTTGTATTCGAGCTAGATAATTATTTAAGACAATTTAGAGAATATCTATTTCTGTAATCAAACATTTCCTGGTTAAAGTGCATTTTTCGGAAAAGCACAATTTCTTTTGTTTAGAATTAGAGGCTATAAGTCAATCATTTCTTGTGATATCGAGCTGAAATTTTGCACGAAGTTTATTTATATCTTGTTCAAGATATGTGTAAAATAGTGATATCGCATCTGAAAAGGCTGCGTTTTTATAAATTTTGAAAGTCAAAAAGTGGTAATTTTTCTTTTCAGGCTTGTTTTGACAAAAAAGTCCGTCAAGAAACGTCGGATTGTTTTGATGGTTGACATGAAATTGTTCTTTGAATTCTGTCGCAGTTTTTGATGCCCTCAAAAATGTGTTTATTCAACTGGAAAGTTGATCTTTTGGACCTCAAAGTCAAACAACGAATTTAGGAATATTTTTCGTTTTTCATATTTACAGATTATTCTAAAAATAAAATTTCGATAGGAATGTGCTAGAGTCAGAGACTATTGGAAGTTTGCAAAATAACCGCAACTAGCACATTTATAATTTATATATATAATATAAGTTATGAATAACAAAACGCCCAAAAATGCTTCCTTTTAAAGTTATGGTATTGGTAGAAAATGTGATTTTTTGGCTTCGCAGATACAAAAATCACATTTTCTGGTTATTCTAATAAATGACAAAACGTAATTCGCGTAAGCAACACTGAATATAACCTACGATCATCTCTTGTGATACTGTGATCATTAGTATGAGCTCTGAAAATTGGCTAAAATCTAATTACCCTAGGCTGTTATCTTCATAAACATATAGAATAGAAATTCGGCGGAATGACAGGCCGAGCGCCCAGTAACAAAATTATATCCCGCAGAATAAGCGTAGCTAGGGACTAGCTGGTAGAAAATAAAGTTATGCGGGCTTAACATGAAAATTATATGGGAACTAATCTTTTAGTTCTATATACTTTTCAGTTTCTGTTAAAAGACTTTTTAAACATTTACATGCAAATTGCAAAAGTTGTAGTGTAATACTTAAAGTTAAATTGTTGATGCGACAAGAAAAGGCTCTTATCAGGAAAAGAATTATTCAACGTTTCAATGTGAAAACATCGTATTCATGATCTCAAATTATTTGTTATGTAGTACTAATAGCGTTGAAAGTATTAAAAAATATTCTCTTGAAAGACTCTGATTTCTTAAAAGACTCTTAATTGCATCTCAATTAATATTTATAATAAATTACCCTTGGCGTACAACCCAAACAATGAAATAAAATCTAAAAGGTCTAATCTCCTAACGTTCAGACTTTCATTTGACGA